TCTCCCGGTCGCGGCCGGCTACGACAGAGCCTGGATTCGAACCAGGATCTCTAGTGGCACAGCTAGCACTGCGATGCAGTGCCTTAGACCACTGCGCCACTCGGGAGACTAATCACTGCACCTGTACACAGCCCATCTGAAATTAGCCCACCCAACTACCTCGTCCCTATATTGTTATTTATTTTGCTCTTTTGCACCCCAGTATCTCTATTTGCACATAATCTCTTGCACATCTAGCATTCCAGTGTTAATACTAATTGTAATTATTTTGCACTATAGCCTATTTATTGCCTTACCTCCATAACTTGCTACATTTGCACACACTGTATATATATTTGCTGTTGTATTTTTTGACTTTATGTTTTTTTACCCCATATGTAACTCTGTGTTGTTGTTTTTATCGCACTACTATGCTTTATCTTGGCCAGGTCGCAGTTGTAAATGAGAACTTGTTCTCAACTGGCTTACCTGATTAAATAAAGGTGAAATAAAAATACAAATAAAATAAATTCAGGACATAGTTAATTTCTTTGCCACATTTTTACTTTTCACCCAGTCAATTAGGTTAGTATTGTGGAATAACTACAATGTTGTTGATCTATCCTCAGTTTTCTCCTATCACAGCCATTAAACTCTGTAACTGTTTTAAAGTCACCATTGACCTCATGGTGAAATCCCTGAGCGGTTTCCTTCCTCTCCGGCAACTGAGTTACAAAGGATGCTTGTATCTTTGTAGTGACTGGGTGTATTGACACACCATCCAAAGTGTAAGGGATATTCAATGTCTGCTCTACTAGGTGCCTTTCTTTGCAAGGCATTGGAAAACCTCCCTGGTCTTAGTGGTTGAATCTGTGTTTGAAATTCACTGCTTGACTGAGGGACCTTACATATAATTGTATGTGTGGGGTACAGAGATGAGATAGTCATAAAAAAAATAATGTTAAAAGAGGTCGATGTCCTCGCCCCCACTGGAAATCTAATCAGCATAGTAAAAACATCCCCATAGAAATCTGTCAGTTTAAGCTAGAGATATGTTTTTTTGCATTGGATGCATCTCAATCCATTGCATCTGCCTGTTGCACTTCAGCATCTGCAGTGAACACGTACATGTTGGTTGTTTTGCTCTAGGATGCTCACAGGCCTCACAAGACTCGTCTGAAGGTCCCCCGGTACTAGTTGAAAAAAATGAATGGAAGTACAGTGCATTCAGTAAGTATTCAGACCCCTTGACTTTTTCCACATTTTGTTACGTTACACCCTCATTCTAAAATGGATTTAAAAAAAAATTAAAATCCTTATCAATCTACACACAATAACCCATAATGACAAAGCAAAAACAGGTTTTTATAAACATTTGCAAATTTATTAAAAATGAAAAACAGAAATAGCTTATTTACATAAGTATTCAGACCCTTTGCTATGAGACTCAAAATTGAGCTCAAGTGCATCCTGTTTCCAGTGATCATCTTTGAGATTTTCTACAACTTCATTGGAGTCCACCTGTGGTAAATTCTAATGATTGGACATGATTTGGAAAGGCACACACCTATCTATATAAAGGTCCCACAGTTGACAGTGTATGTCAGAGCAAAAACCAAGCCATGAGGTCGAAGGAATTGTCCGTAGAGCTCAGAGACAGGATTGTGTCGAGACACAGATCTGGGGAAAAGTAACAAAACATTTCTGCAGCATTGAAGGTCCCCAAGAACACAGTGGCCTCCTTCATTCTTTAAATGGAAGAAGTTTGGAACCACCAAGACTCTTCCTAGAGCTGTCTGCCTGGCCAAACTAAGCAATTGGGGGAGAAAGGCCTTGGTCAGGGAGGTGACCAAGAACCTGATGGTCACTCTGGCAGAGCTCCAGAGTTCCTCTGTGGAGATGGGATAACCTTCCAGAAGGACAACCATCTCTGCAGCACTCCACCAATCAGGCCTTTATTGTAGAGTGGCCAGACGGAAGGCACTCATCAGTAAAAGGCACATGACAGCCCGCTTGGAGTTTGCCAAAAGGCACCTAAAGGACTATAAGATCATGAGAAACAAGGTTCTCTGGTCTGATGAAACCAAGATTGAACTCTTCGGCCTGAATGCCAAGCGTCATGTCTGGAGGAAACCTGGCACCATCCCTACGGTGAAGCATGGTGGTGGCAGCATCATGCTTTGGGGATGTATTTCAGCGGCAGGAACTGGGAGACTAGTCAGGATCGATGGAAAGATGAACTGAGCAAAGTACAGAGAGATCCTTGATGGAAACCTGCTCTAGAGCGCTCAGGACCTCAGACTGGACAACAACCCTAACCACACATCCAAGACAACGCAGGAGTGGCTTCGGGACTCCCGTGTAGCTCAGTTAGTGGCTCAGTTGGTAGAGCATGGCGTTTGCAACGCCAGGGTTGTTTCCCACGGGGGACCAGTATGAAAAAAAATGATGCATGCACTCACTAACTGTAAGTCGCTCTGGATAAGAGTGTCTGCTAAATGACTTTTTTTTTTTTTTTTATGTACGTCTCTAAATGTCCTTGAGTGGCCCAGCCAGAGCCCGGAGTTGAACCCAATCAAACATCTCTGGAGAGACCTGAAAATAACTGTGCAGCGACGCTCCCCATCCAACCTGAAAGAGCTTGAGAGGATCTGCAGAGAAGAATGGGAGAAACTCCCCAAATACAGGTGTGCCAAGCTAGTAGCGTCATACCCAAGAAGACTCAAGCCTGTAATCACTGCCAAAGGTGCTTCAACAAAGTACTGAGTAAAGGGTCTGAATACTTTTGTAAATGTGATATTTCAGTTTATTTTTAATACATTTGCAAAAATTTCTAAATCTGTTTTTGCTTTGTCATTATGGGGTATTGTGTGTAGATTGAGGGTAAAGAAAACAATTGAATCCATTTTAGAATAAGGCTGTAACGTAACAAAATGTGGAAAAAGTCAAGGTGTCTGAATACTTTCCAAATGCACTGTATATATGGAGACTGTTTAGTGCCAAAAATAAGGGGTTAAAAACATGTACAAAAAATTAATAAAATAACAATCCTGAGCTTATATATCTCAGATATAGGACAGACACTTCAGAACAAACTTTCTTTTGATTTTTGGGGGGGGGGACTGTCTGTTGTTCCATGTAGTGAATGTGTTATTCAAGCCCCTCCCCCGGCTTAGACTCTTATGGGTTCAACACTATTACTGCACACAGAGTGAGTCCATGCAACTTACTTGACTTGTTAAGAAAAGTTTTACTCCTTAACTTATTTAGGCTTGCCCTAAAAAGGGGTTGAGTTCTTATTGCCTCAAGACATTTCAGCTTTTCATTTGTAATTAATTTATAACAAAAAAAATCTAAAAACATCATTCCACTTTCACATTATGGGGTATTGTTTGTAAGCCAGTGACAAAACTCTATTTAATCAATTTTAAATTCAGGCTGTAACACAACAAAATGTGGAAAACGTTAAGGGGTGTGAATACTTTCTGAAGGCACTGTACCTCGTACCCCTGCACATCGACTCGGTACTGGTAGCCCGTGTATATAGCCAAGTTATCGTTACTCATTGTGTACTTATTCCTTGTGTTATTTTTCTATTTTTCCCTCGTATTATTATTTTAGATTTTTTTTACTATTTCCATTTTTCTCTCTCTGCATTGTTGAGAAAGGCACGTAAGTAAGCATTTCACTGTTAGTCTACATCTGTTGTTTACGAAGCATGTGACGAATACAATTATTTGATTTGCCATGAAATAAATGTTTAGAATTACAGGAAATTAGCTTTAAAACTGCAACATTTCTAGTTCAACTTTATTTGTATAGTTATTTTGTTGTTGCATTATTTAACTGTAAATTGTAAATTTATGGGAATTTTAGAAGGGAAAATATTAGTTTATTTAATTTTCAAAATACTTTTAAAATATTATTCATTTCCATGTCAGCTCTATGCCTGGAAATGCCCTTGTCTGGAGCAACGGTTCCCAAAAAGTGTAAAAAAAAAAAAAAAAAGTGTCAATAATGGATATTAACAGAATAATTATCTTATGTAGTTTCTTGCAATTGCTCCCTGTGCCTTTATAGAATATTTATCTCAAAATTCGGATTCCTAAAAGACGTGTCCAGAGATTTGGTAAACTCAGATTTGTCTAAAATCCTAAATTAATCAGGAATGAGCAGGGTCAGCTATACCATAACGATCCCTTATTCATGTCCTCAATACACGTCATGCAACAAGACCACTCATGGTCTGTAAAGTGTTCTACTTTTGATAGATTTAAACAAACATTACTGGGATCACCATGGTCACAACCATGAACTGTCAACTCCATCTGCCTAATGAAGATAGAATATGAATTTTGGTTAAAATATGTTATATTTAATTAGGTTTTCCTAAAGCAACCAAGGAAAAACAAAATTGCTACTGTGTATACCACTTGAATGAAGAAGAAAAATGAAATAGTTGTCAACTCCGTAAAATAAACTCCGTCAGAGTTTTGTCTAACGTCAACTCTGTCAGAGTGCTGAAAGATCTGATAGAATGGTTGTGTTTTTATTGGGGATTTTCAAATTAATAATTTTCCGTATTTTCCAAGTGTTTTTATATTGAACTTTTATTTTTAGAGGCAAAAATATGTCTGTTTTGAGTATCGGTTGTCAACTCCGTCAGTGGCTTATCAACTCCGTCACTGATGGAGTCCATATTTTTTGGTCAATATTCCAAAAATATATATTAATCACGGTTCTTTAGCATATGCTTAAACAACTGAAGTATTTGCTGTGCTAGACATAAGGGATAATGTTTGCTTTTCCCCCTCTACTTGATCATGTCCCACAAGATTATTCTATTTTGAACACAGCACATCAGAGGGGATGAGCAAATGAAAGATACAAAAAAAAAAAAAAAAAACTCTTAGAGCTGCCCTGATTTACCAGGACAGTAGATTTGCCATACCCCATAGCACACTGATTTTTCCTTGACTTTGACTCCATCTTGTGGCAGAACCAATGAACTTCCCAGATTTCTGCATTGTGACGCAATCAACCTTGAACAGCACCATTTTTCCACTGTCCATATAGGACGAGATACTCTCCACCATGGACTCATAACTATAATGACGCCACATGAACTGAGCTGTTTGCGTGTACTCCTTTTAATCAAGTCAAGTTGTTGTCAATGTTCAGGCAGATTTGTTGGACTGAGAATATGTCCTCCATGTCGAGATGGACAATCTCATAGGATGGACAGATTGAGTTGGTCCCCCGTAGAGAAAAAAAAACATGTACATGTATTACGAAGCCCTATATAAACCATCCATACACAGGTTAAAACATACACTAGTGAATTATTCCACCTTTGGCCAGCACTAAGCAGACATGTCTATGTAGCATGTAAGGTTACACACGCACACAAACAGCCCATGAGGAAGCACCACCTGACCCTGGACATTCATTCAAAACAAATTGTCCATTTGGAACAAAGATTTATTGAAGCGACCACCCTCTGACCGACCCCTTCATTCCCCAAACTTGAGCTGCCTCTCTTTCTCTTGGAAGTGCAGCTCTTTTGCTCTATTCTTAAGTTCCTCTGCTTTCTTCTCGTCCTTCTCCGCCCCGTCTCCCAGTTTATACATACGGCTGGCGTTGGCACAGCCCCAGACGTGTCCTAGCTCACAGGCCCTCGTGGCATACCTCAGAGCCAGGCCCATGTCCTTACTGAGCCTCGGGGAGCCCTCAATATACATGGCACTAAGGTTGAAGCAGGAGGGTGCAAACCCCCCTGTACATGCCTTCTCATAGTACTGCCTAGCTGCCCCCGGGTCAGGGCCGGCTTCCATGGCTCGACCGTCGTGGGCGAGGAGACCCACGTTGTGACACGCGTCCACAGACTTCTTACCGCCACTGCTGCAGGCCGTCATGAAGCAGGAGTAGGCCATTTTCAGATTCTCTGCTAATCCCCCTGATGGAGAGATTTAGAACATGTTGAGCTTGACCACCTGGGGAATGTATTCAGGGTCTCTCTGTCTGTCAGTACTTTCTTATCATCCTAATATTTCTTATTAATAAGATTACATGTCTTAACACATTTTTGTCATGCCAAAGCCACACTTACTCTAATCTAATCTTTAAATGTTTTATTTGTCTAGCTGAGAAATGCAAATTGTCTCAGGCTTTGCTGTTGTAATCTGCTAGTGAATGGGATTAAGTTTAGACTGGTGTAGTCATGTACCTTTGCCTTGGACATAGTAAGCCCCGAGCTTGTAGCAACTTTCACCATGTTTATTAGTGTCACAGTTGTGTTTGAGCACCTGAGCGGTAGACTCAAAGTTTTTCTTCACTCCCTCCATGTAGTCAGCAAGCCTTTGACACCCTGACAACAGAATACATGAGGTTAGCCACAATAATGAGTTAGACAGTGTGAAGGTTATAGTACTCCATGAGACATAAAGACACCTTAACACCATGCACAATCAGTGGTTCAGAACCCCAGTTAGGGGACAGCGAATGATGAACCATTAGCTGAACATCACTCACTTCCGCGCTGCATAACACAGTGCACGTCATGCCTTACCTTCAGGGTCCTTCTCTCTGTAACACTGGTAGCTGAATTCCACACCTATGTTATCCAAATACTGCTTCACCTCCTTTTCGTCCTCAAAGTTTATGAGTCCAGACATGATTCGAACGGAGTAGTGTCTAAAAACCCCTGTCTAAAAACCACACGTGTTGAAAAGTCCAGAACTTCCTTATGACCTTGGTGTTGAACTGATGAGGTAACAATTCAACGTCTGGTCCCGTTGAAAAACAATGTAAGCGTATTTAGAGATCACCTTGATAAAGGCTAATGTGACGGACATGCAGTGAATTATAATCTATTTTCATTTAAATAAAACGTAGAGATGCTCCTTCTTGCTGCTTTCTTCCTGCTTTTGTAATCTGCACGAAAGGGCCTCCGTAGGCCCGTCCCATCCGCGGGTGATGTACTTCCTGTGTCATACGTTTTTTTTTAACCGTCTATCAACAAAAATAGAGCTATCGTTTCCTCGGGCATATTCTTTCGTTAAAAAAAAAGTATGTGTGCTGATTTAGATTAGTGTCAGCCTTCAGCCTTGTTAACTAACAGACATGGTTTGAAAATGAAATCAACAATTTTCACAACTATATCTATCGTTTTTCAGGAACATCGATTTTCTATCTTTGTTCGGTACCAACAAGTTAGCTAGCTTCTAGCCAGTACGCTAGTTAGCTATCACCTTGCAACAAGAACAATATTTTCAGCAAGATTAGGCTAGCTAAGTAGCAAGTTAACAAGGCAAACCGAGACAACTTGGCGTAGGTAGAGACCGATAACTATATTGATCTTCGGTCAGGAGTCAAGCCTGCAATTTCTTAAACATGGTGAGTTTTTTTTCGATATCAATGTCTAGCATGCAATCATCGTGCATTGATCAGGACCAGCAAGGGTATAGAAAAATGCATACCGGTAACAAGCTAACTAGGCCTAGTTAGATATCTGCTGAAATTTGATCCACGTCGTTAGTTAGTTAAACCTTTGTAGTTCAGGGGGATGGATAACTACCTAGCTATTGCTCGTTATTTTGGGGTTTGACAACAGCCCAACCCTCCAGACATCCTCTACCTCCTCCTGTGTGTTATGGATATCAGGTCTCATTGGCGACCATTTTAACTTTGGCCATATGCTTGGTATGGCATTTGGGAGTGCTGGCATACACTATATACAGTTGAAGTCGGAAGTTTACATACACCTTAGCCAAATACATTTAAACTCCGTTTTTCACAATTCCTGACATTTAATCCTAGTAAAAATTCCCTGTCTTAGGTCAGTTAGGATCACCACTTTATTTTAAGAATGTGCAATGTCAGAATAATAGTAGAGAGAATTATTTATTTCAGCTTTTATTTATTTCATCACATTCCCAGTGGGTCAGAAGTTTACATACACTCAATTAGTATTTGGTAGCGTTGTCTTTAAATTGTTTAACTTGGGTCAAACATTTCAGGTAGCCTTCCACAAGCTTCCCACAATAAGTTGGGTGAATTTTGGCCCATTCCTCCTGACAGAGCTGGTGTAACTGGGTCAGGTTTGTAGGCCTCCTTGCTCGCACACGCTTTTTCAGTTCTGCCCACAAATGTTCCATTGAATTGAGGTCAGGGCTTTGTGATGGCCACTGCAATACCTTGACTTTGTTGTCCTTAAGCCATTTTGCCACAACTTTGGAAGTATGCTTGGGGTCATTGTCCATTTGGAAGACCCATTTGCGACCAAGCTTTAACTTCCTGACTGATGTCTTGAGATGTTGCTTCAATATATCCACATCATTTTCCTTCCTCATGATGCCATCTATTTTGTGAAGTGCACCAGTCCCTCCTGCAGCAAAGCACCCCCACAGCATGATGCTGCCACCCCCGTGCTTCACAGCTGGGATGGTGTTCTTCGGCTTGCAAGGCGACCCCCTTTTTCCTCCAAACATAACGATGGTCATTATGGCCAAACAGTTCTATTTTTGTTTCATCAGACCAGAGGACATTTCTCAAAAAAGTACAATCTTTGTCCCCATGTGCAGTTGCAAACCGTAGTCTGGCTTTTTTATGGCGGTTTTGGAGCAGTGGCTTCTTCCTTGCTGAGCGGCCTTTCAGGTTATGTCGATATAGGACACGTTTTACTGTGGATATAGATACTTTTGTACCTGTTTCCTCCAGCATCTTCACAAGGTCCTTTGCTGTTGTTCTGGGATTGAATAGCACTTTTCGCACCAAAGTACATTCGTCTCTAGGAGACAGAACGCGTCTCCTTCCTGAGCTGTATGACGGCTGCGTGGTCCCATGGTGTTTATACTTGCGTACTATTGTTTGTACAGATGAACGTGGTACCTTCAGGCGTTTGGAAATTGCTCCCAAGGATGAACCAGACTTGTGGAGGTCTACAATTGTTTTTCTGAAGTCTTTTACTGATTTCTTTTGATTTTCCCATGATGTCAAGCAAAGAGGCACTGAGTTTGAAGGTAGGCCTTGAAATACATCCACAGGTACACCTCCAATTGACTCAAATGATGTCAATTAGCCTATCAGAAGCTTCTAAAGCCATCATTTTCTGTAATTTTCCAAGCTGTTTAAACACACAGTCAACTTAGTGTATGTAAACTTCTGACCCACTGGAATTGTGATACAGTGAATTATAAGTGAAATAATCTGTCTGTAAACAATTTGTTGTAAAAATGATTTGTGTCATGCACAAAGTAGATGTCCTAACCGACTTGCCAAAACTATAGTTTGTTAACAAGAATTGTGTGTGGAGTGGTTGAAAAACGAGTTTTAATGACTCCAACCTAAGTGTATGTAAACATCCGACTTCAACTGTATACACAAAAGTATGTGGACACCCCTTCAAATTAGTGGATTCGGCTATTTCAGCCACACCCGTTGCTGACAGGTGTATAAAATCGAGCACACAGCCATGCCATCTCCATAGACAAACATTGGCCTTACTGAAGAGCTCAGTGACTTTCAACGGGGCACCGTCATAGGATGCCACCTTTCCAACAAGTCAGTTCGTCAAATGTATGCCCACAGGGGGTATGAAAAAAAATAAAATAATGTAAGTCGCTCTGGATAAGAGCGTCTGCTAAATGACGTAAATGTAATTTTTGAAGTGGAAATGTCTAGGAGCAACAGCTCAGCCGCGAAGTGATAGGCCACACAAGCTCACAGAATGGGACCACCAAGTGCTGAAGCAGGTAGCGCGTAAAAATTGAGGTCCATACAGAAATGATTTGTCGAGATCGGTGTGGAAGAGCTTGACTTGCCTGCACAGAGCCCTGACGTCAACCCCATCAAACACCTTTGGGATGAATTGGAACGCCGACTGAGAGCCAGGCCTAATCGCCCAACATCATTGCCCAACCTCACTAATGCTCTTGTGGCTGAATGGAAGCAAGTCCCCGCAGCAATGCTCCAACATCTAGTGGAAAGCCTTCCCAGAAGAGTGGAGGCTGTTATAGCAGCAAAGGGGAGACCAACTCCATATTAATGCCCATGTTCGATGAGCAGGAGTCCATATACTTTTGGTCATGTAGTGTGTGTGTGTGTGTGTGTTCCAGGACGAGGCGTCCCCGGCATCTCTGACAGACCTGTGTCTGTCCTACGTGAGTGGGAACCTGGAGCGGTTCTGTGTGAAGCACGCCGACGGATCTCTCTGTCTCAGAGACTCTTTGCTGTTCCCCCAGGAGCTAGCTGACCAGCTGTTGGCTAAGATGGCCACTGAAGGTGAGTGAGCAAGGAGCATGAAGTAGTCAGCGGTCACAGATCCAAGCTCAGATCCTTACCTTGATCATTAGTACAAAAACACCAAACCGGCCTTTAATTCAGTGTCTAGAGCAGTAATGGGCTATTTAGTCATTGGGTGATTTTGTCCCAGCCCAGCTCTAACAAAAAAGTGTGGGTGTTGTTTTTAGGTCTGTTGAATGACAGTACAGTGGGAGTGTTTCGTAGCTGTGAGTACCTGCGGTTGCGTCGTGCATGTATCCGGACAGCTCGTATCTCTGCCGAGGCGTTCCAGAGAGCTCTCTGTCCTCACCGCCTGCTGGAGCTGGACGCTGCCAGGGTCAATGCTGACCTCACCATCTCTGACATACTACAGGGACTGGCCTCCAACAAACACTGCCAGGTAAACATACAGTGCATTCGGAAAGTATTCAGACCCCTAGACTTTCTTCCATATTTTGTTACATTACAGCCTTATTCTAAAAGGCATTCAATAGTTTTTCCCCCTCAGCAATGTACACACAATACTACATAATGACAAAGCAAAAACAATTTTTTACAAATGTATCAAATAAAAGTGGGAATATCACGTTTACATAAGAATTCAGACCCTTTACTCAGTACATTGTTGAAGCACCTTTGGCAGAGATTTCAGCCTCGAGTCTTCTTGGGTATGATGCTACAAGGTTGGCACACCTGTATTTGGGGAGTTTCTCCCATTCTTCTCTGCAGATCCTCTCAAGCTCTGTCAGGTTGGATTGGGAGCGTCTCTGCACAGCTATTTTCAGGTCTCTCCAGAGATGTTCGATCGGGTTAAAGTCTGGGTTCTGGCTGGGCCACTCAAGGACATTCAGAGACCTTTCCCAAAGGCACTCCTGCGTTGTCTTGGCTGTTTGCTAAGGGTCGTTGTCCTGTTGTAAGGTGAACCTTCGCCCCCAGTCTGAGGTCCTGAGCGCTCTGGAGCAGGTTTTCATCGAGGATCTCTGTACTTTGCTCCATTAATCTTTCCCTTGATCCTAACTAGTTTCCCAGTCCCTGCCGCTGAAAAACATCCCCACAGCATGATGCTGCCACCACCATGCTTCACCGTAGGGATGGTGCCAGGTTTCCTCCAGAGGTAATGCTTGGCTTTCAGGGCAAAGAGTTCAATCTTTGTTTCATCAGACCGGATAATCTTGTTTCTCATGATCAGAGTCCTTTAGGTGCCTCTTGGCAAACTCCAAGCGGGCTGGCGTGCCTTTTACTGATGAGTGGCTTCCGTCTGGCCACTCTACTATAAAGGCCTGATTGGTGGAGTGCTGAGGAACTCTGGAGCTGTCCAGTCTTGGTGGTTCCAAACTTCTTCCATTTAAGAATGATGGAGGCAACTGTGTTCTTGGGGAACTTCAATGCTGCAGACCCTTCCCCAGATCTGTCCCTCGACATAATCCTGTCTCGGAGCTCTACAGACAATTCCTTCGACCTCATGGCTTGGTTTTTGCTCTGACATGCACTGTCAACTGTGGGACCTTATATAGACAGGTGTGTGCCTTTCCAAATCATGTCCAATCAATTCAATTTACCAAAGGTGGACTCCAATCAAGTTGTAGAAACATCTCAAGGATGATCAATGGAAACAGGATGCACCTGAGCTCAATTTTGAGTCTCATAACAAAGGGTCTGAATGTTTATGTAAATACGTTTTTTCTAAAATCCTGTTTTCACTTTGTCATTATGGGGTATTGTGTGTAGATTGTTTATTTAATCAATTTTAGAATAAGGCTGTAACGTTACAAAATGTGTAAAAAGTCAAGGGGTCTGAACACTTTCCGAATGCACTGTACACTGATGAGAGCCTCCAGCCGGGACAGACAACCACAAACACTCTTCCTCCCCCCAGGAGAGCTTACAGCGGTTGGTCCTGACAGGTCTAACCATGTCCTCTCTGGAGGAACCATCCCGTCACCGTTTCAGCTCTCTCCATGGGCTCCGCTCCCTCTCCCTGGCCAACGTGGACTTCTACGACTCTGGGCTGGCTGACGTGTGTTCCCTACCCCGCCTGGAGAGCCTAGACCTGTCCAACACCTCAGTGACCAACCTCAACCCTCTACTGGGCCTCAGGGAGAGGCTGAGGTCACTAACACTACACCAGCTGAAGAGGCTGGAGATGAGCACCGCACAGCTACTGGCCGTCATTGGACAACTGGAGGCACTGCAGGTGGGTGGGGACAGCTCTAATGCTGAAGTTCTGTATTCATTTGCTCCACTATAAAGAGCATATATATTGCTGAGCCAAGTTTCTTAAACCTTTTTCTAGTTCCGGCACTGTGATTGTTCGCTATCCCTGAAGTTTACTTGCGGTGCTCGAATGGTTTTATATCTGAAACTCATACTTTTGTGGATGTGTAAAAACCTACCTATGCAGCACCTGGACATCAGTGATGATAAACAGTTCACATCAGACGTGGCTCGTCAGTTGCTGGGCGAGCCTGGGATCCTGCCTGCTCTGGTCTCGCTGGACGTGTCTGGACGTAAACAGGTGCTGGAGACATAGTATGAGTGGAGTTGACTAGAGTTGTGAGCGGGTGTCTTGCAGACGTGTGTGTGTGTGTGTGTAGTGTGTTTACCTGGTGTGTGTGTTATGCTAGGTGACCGATGCAGCGGTCAAGGCGTTTGTAGAGGAGCGTCCAGGGATGACCTTTGTTGGTCTGCTGGCTACAGACGCTGGCTTCTCAGACTTCCTCAATGGAGAGGGCATCCTCAAGGTGGGTCTCGCTGTTTTTCTTCTCTCTGTCTGTCTGTCTGTCTCTGTTGCCTTTGTAGAGGAAGCAGCATACTGACAGAGTACTACGTTATGTATGTATGTCCTCTGTTTGTGGCAGGTGACAGGAGAGGCCAATGAGACTCAGATCTGTGAGGCGCTGCGTCGCTACAGTGAGAGAGACGGCTTTGTCAGAGAGGCTCTGTTTCATCTGTTCAGTCTCACTCACATCATGGAGAAACCACGGCCTGACATACTCAAGGTACACACACACATTATGTCATATCTACTCTAACCTTCACCTCAATATACATCTTCCTACAGCCTGGCTCTCAGTGTACACATTTTTATAAAGTAATGAGTCACTCCCTCTTGGGGAGTTTCTAGTTGGTAGTACTGGGAATGAAGAACCACCCTGCCACCCTGAACGTCCAGTTGGCAGCCAGTGCGTGTGTGTTTAACCTGACCAAGCAGGACCTGGCAGCGGGCATGCCTGTTAGACTGCTGGGCACAGTCACTCAACTACTGCTGGAGGCCATGAGGACCTTCCCTAACCACCAACAGGTACACACACAAACTCACCTTCTCCATATTGTTTACACATATCCAATTTCTTCCAATCTGCAAACACAGACTGGCTAGGGGCTGTTTGTGGACCAGGCTTGAGTGGGGGTTTTGTTTTGTTTGGGCTCTAACCACCATCTATGGATCCTTTTTCTCCAGTTGCAAAAGAATTGCCTTCTCTCTCTGTGCAGTGACCGCATACTGCAGGAGGTCCCCTTCAACAGGTAGATATACACATTGAATTACTTTGACTGTAGATGTATTCATCCCTTAAGATTGTGTCTCATGAGAGACGTAGTATGTACAGTGCATGTGCATATCCTTTGTACTGTGTGGATGTGGTCTATAATCCAGGTTTGAGGCCGCTAAACTGGTGATGCAGTGGCTGTGTAACCATGAGGACCAGAACATGCAGAGGATGGCTGTGGCTATCATTTCTATACTGGCAGCCAAGGTAGGTGTGTGTGTGTGCGTACATGCCTGAGTGTGTGTCAAATATGGTATTAGAAATGTATTTGAGGTTTGGTCTTTGCTGACGTGTGTGTTTCTCTTCAGTTATCTACAGAGCAGACAGCCCAGCTGGGAGCAGAGCTGTTCATAGTGAAGGTGACTGTTCAAACATCCTCCATTCACACAGCTGGCCATTGGCACATACTTTCCCCTTCTAAATAATTGCTGTCTGCAGTGTTTAAAAAAAAAAAAACAGTAATTGTCACCATATCTCTGTCTATCCCCCTCTTTCTCTGTCCCTCTTTCTCTCTCTGCAGCAACTCCTCCACATCGTGCGTCAGAAGGCGACTCAGGGCGTGGTAGATGCCACCCTCAAGTTCACTCTGAGCGCGCTCTGGAACCTCACCGACGAATCACCAACCACCTGCCGCCATTTTATAGAGAACCAGGGACTGGAGCTGTTCATCAAAGTACTGGAGGTAGTACACACACGCTCACTCACAGACCCTAGAGCTGTTCATCAAAGTTACAACACACTCTCTCTGACCCGAGAGCTGTTCATCAAAGTGCTAGTTACAACACACTCTCTCTGACCCGAGAGCTGTTCATCAAAGTGCTAGTTACAACACACTCTCTCTGACCCGAGAGCTGTTCATCAAAGTGCTAGTTACAACACACTCACGCTCAGACCCTGAAGTTCTTAATGCCTGAAGTGCATACTGACTCACTCACACCTCTTTATCGTCCCCTTTCTTTCTCTCTGCAGTCGTTCCCCTCTGAGTCTTCCATCCAGCAGAAGGTGTTGGGGCTGCTGGTGAGTCATAGTGAACCTTTGACTGACTATCAGTGTATTTATTCTACTGGTTACCAACCCTGGTTTGTGGTCCTAGGGGCTAGACGTAGTGAATTCAGCGGAGACAAACAGTACTGACGAAACCGTTTGTTTTATGTTTGAATCATCCCATTTTAAGTGGTGGAGAACCGTGGAGGAGCTGACTGTGTGGCTCTGTCTCTCTCCAGAACAACATAGCAGAGGTTGGGGAGCTGCATGAGGAGCTGATGGTTCAGGGTTTCCTGGATCACATCTGCTCCCTGCTCCACAGCTCTGAGGTGGAGGTGTCCTACTTCGCTGCTGGGATACTGGCCCACCTCACCTCCAGAGGAGAGGCTGCATGGACACTCAGTATCACACTGAGGTCTGACCTGCTAGAACAACTGGTATGTGGGGGAGGGGTGTGTGTGTGTGTGAATTGTCAAAGTGAGTTGTTATACCACCACCTGTGTGTGTGTGTATATAATTGTCTCATGTTCTGTGTGTCTCACCTCCAGCACTCTGCCATCCTGAAGTGGCAGACCCCAGAGTGTGAGATGGTGGCCTACAGGTAAGACCTCCATGCACGCACACAAGGAGAGGAGGATCGGAAGCCACTGTAAACTATTAAGATGCAGCCTGAGTATTAATGATCTCCTCCCCCCTCTGTAGGTCCTTTAACCCTTTCTTCCCCCTGTTGGAGTGTTTCCACACCCCAGGAGTTCAGCTGTGGGCAGCCTGGGCCATGCAGCATGTCTGCAGCAAGAACGGTGAGACACACTCCAGCTTCCGAGTTTCTACCTGTCGTACGTTTCTATATATTCTGCTCTGTGCGTCATCAATGTGAGTTTAATCTCTCTGGACTCCTGCAGCCCCTCGATACTGCAGTATGCTGCTGGAGGAGGGAGGTCTGCAGCAGCTGGAAAAGGTCCAGACACACCCCGACACACACGCAGATGTCATGCGATTGGCTGATGGCATCCTGGAGAGCCTGCAGCGCCACCAAGCTCGCACCGGCCAGACCACACAAACACCCCCGCTGCCCACCGCAACCACACACACACACAAAGGTGAGACACACACAAACACGCACAATGATTTCTAGTGTGTGATTTCGGAACAATAAAAATGCTCTTTCTCCTCCAGAAAGTGATACGCCCTGATCAGAACCCATTCCACCTGTACTGTCAAGACGAGTCCAGAAAGAGGTGTGTGTTGACACATGTTCATTAAGCCTGTCGTATGCTTCCCATTCGAAACAGTTTGCGCCAATACTATGACGAAATGTTGACGTTTTTGTTTATATTGGAGTTCGGCAGGGGTTTTTCCAGCTATTCACGCACCAAATGTTTTCTTGAGGCAAGTCAAAGTTTGGTAGCCAAAGTCAACAGTACTACTCCTAGTATTAGTGGGAACTATGGACAAGATTCTTCATTGAAGTGTTTGTCATTCAGTGAGGGTCTACTAGTTTTCATGCAAATTGTTTTCACTTGAGAAATACTGCACCAAACAAAATGTATCAAAATGAATGACAGATTCCTTTGTTCATCGTAGATTAATTCAGACTATTTTGAGGAAGTGTATAGTGGCTATGTTGCTACGGCGTTTCAAGAGGGACAAACGGTAATATTGCTGTTTTCTTCTCTTTTTCAAGCAAAGGTCTTTTTAAGGGAGTATGCAAGGCACAAACCAAATCTAGTATGTGGGTGCCTTTTTAAACGGGGGTGAGGAAAAACACCCTGTCACCTTCCACCTTGTCTGAAGGTGGCGCTATAAAGTGAATGAGAGAACAGAAACTACGCATTTCTTTTCACACATACCTTGCTATGTTATTTATTTTCTTGTTTGGTTCAAAAGCAAAAGTATTATTAAGTGTACTACTGTTGTGATTATAATGAAATTATGATTGAGTTAACTAAAGAAAAAGAAACCCTAAGAAAAGCATGAGTTGTTGGTTAACAGCGTCAATAGCATGAATAGAAAACCAGTTGAACTATATGGTTCAACAGTTTTTTTTTTCTCCTGTTGGACTCTGGAAGGGCCGACTCCTTATTTAAGAATCCTGCATGTATCTTGGAACAGTCACAGAAGTCGACATCAATTAACCCCATCGACATGGATTCATGGTTGGAGTTCTGCAGGTGCACCAAGTTAGGATTCGGCCCCTAAAGGGCACTACATACCCTACGCAAACAGAGCGTCGTATACGGTCCATTCCAAAATGTGATCCGCACAAAGTACATAGAACTACCTAGAAAACGACACTGTTGCTGCGTTTGCGTAAAGTGTGTAGCGGCCTTAAAGCTCAGTTGTGGGGTTGAGAGAGAGTCTAGCCCCTTTGGCTGATTAGCTAATAAATGCGCATGACGGTGTGATTTCCCAGCATGCTCAAGTTTGTCTGAATTATCTTTTCATTCTCCCAGTTTGTAGCAGGACTATTCATATCCAGACATGGAGGTCCACAGTACTGTCCATAGTTATTTTCTCTCTGGTAGTTAATTGATGAATACATTTTTGCCACAGTGTATACTCACCTGGGGTCCCAGGTCTGAATCAGTCCCTGATTGGAGGGTTAGGATGAAAACCAGTAGTACTGTGGACCTCCAGGACAGGATTTGAGTTAATAGGAATGTTGTTTCCCTTGTGGACACAAGTGGCAATAAATATAGGTCAATATTAACATAGAATAAATATACGACTTTGCACAGTATGAAGAAAAAATCATTTTTCTTGAGAGTTCTGTATGTTGGTAGTGCTTCCATGTGTGCATGCTTGCGTATGTGGATCAGTGTATAGGTGAGTTTGTGTTTTGATGCTAGGTGGTGTGTTTGTACTAGCCTGGCTGACGTGGCCCATGTGACTCACAGCGCAGGGAGAGCTGAGACTTCACTGGTCTGGAAAGGAGGCAGTTTGTTAATGCAATATTCGCTCAGAAATTGTGCGACAGGTTTTTTTTCATCTGGGGTTGAGACCTCTCGTTGTTTGGATTTGAAAATCCAACTGTTGTAATTGAAGGGGGTGGCGCTCGGGGGTTGTGCTTGTGGGTGTTTGAGTGAGAAAGGCCGTGGAGAACCAACCAGTAAAAACACAGCCCCCTTCATTATCGACGCATTGTGCCGACAACCTCAAAGGGCCATTCCAGACCTCAGGAGGACTTAGTTAGGTGCTAGCCACTGTAGCCAGACAAGTGTTTGTACTTGAGTATGTACAACCAGGAGCATGTATGGGGCTAAATGTGAGGAATATATTTTGTACATGCTGTATATATCTGAAAGTGGATGGGAGATGAGAAACTACAGTCTTTATAACGATTGGTTTAAAGTGTTGGAAACTACAGTCTTTATAACGATTGGTTTAAAGTGTTGGAAACTACAGTCTTTATAACGATTGGTTTAAAGTGTTGGAAACCTATGTTTTTGTTGTTTATTTCAAAATGAGGTACTTAATAAAACAAAGGAGGCAAAACTGAGTTGGGAATTCTGCTATTAAGGGGAGAGGCAGCAAGAGTAGCGCAATCCCAAATAGACCCCTATCCGGGGGGGTGTCGAACTCATTTTGCCCCGGGGGCCGCATTCGGTCTTCGAGGTCCGGAGGGCCCCACTGAAAATGTGTTATATTTCCTTGCTGTCAAAATTACAAAATAATAGTCAATCCATAGTTTTGGGAATTTTCTATGCTCCCTGACTGATTATTAGTGAACTGGACAGTCAAGAAACTGTATTAATATAGTAAGTCCATTATCATTTCTACACCGTTTCGATTTGGTTTGCATGTATGACACACCTGCTCTTCCCTATAGGCACTTAGATCTGAAAGAATTGAATAGGTATAAGCAAAATGGCAGTTGCCCCACCTTGCCCTCTGAATTATCGCCATATTACTTAACCCAAGAAGTGCATAGGCGCTAGCAGTCAATTTGAAATTGTTTCTCGCCTGCGTTGTCCCATCAGGGCCTCGTTTAATAGGCTCAACGTTGTGGAACATTCCAAATCAGATAGAAATACATTGTGTAGAACAGACATGCCTCTGACATGGAGTAAAGGCATTGTGTCAGCTCTATTCATGGCATTTCTATCTGCAACGTTCTGTACGTTGCACCCTCTTGAGCGTGACCCTGGTTGTGATAATAATGCTATAGGCTACTGATCCTGTCTTCATTCTCTATGCAACGGCGGCTGAAGCTACATTTCATGGCTGCTGGCAAATCTCCACATGCTTGATTTCAAATCAGCCTACACGTTGTATGTGCTTGCTACTGCTGCATGGGTCAAAGTATCTCTTCTCTATGGCATCAAGGGAAATGCACAGAACAAACTGAACTGTAAACTAAAGTCAATATTTTCTACATTACACTGACAGAATATGAAATGTGAGTTTTTGTCCTCACTGTGATTGAAGCTGTGGGAAAGTTTAGTCTTGTTTGTACATTCCCCTAATGTGACAGTTGGTTTCCTCTTTCAGTATGGGTATTTCATGAAACTGGGAGTGGGGTGACTCCAAAGGGAAGGTCATTTGCATATGTTCGGCTAAGATGCCATTTTGCTGCTGAGGGTCATATTTTCATGTTTCTGAAATAAAGAATGTACACCCCCATCGACTGTAAACTGGTACTGTCTGTTTTACTGTATTCCTTTATCTCAAATGCCATCCTTGATCCAGCTGCTAAAATATATTACAACTGCAGCTTAGACATTTATTAAAGGAATAAATTAGGTTGGTGTACAAACACACAACAAACCTCCGTGTGTGTTACTCTCCAGTGTAGCGCAGGGGTCTCTACTCTTTAAAGGCAGCCATGCCCTCCTGTCTGTCTCGTGTCGGGATCAGCTGGAGAAAGAGAGATGATATACCACTACAGTTTGACCTCAGACAATGCACATGAGCATTTTACCGGTTGATCTCTTACCCTGGCTTAACACATCCTCTCTATGGCCATCCCTGATGTGACGTCCACCTGAGAGATACAGAGCCACACAGACAGGTTACAGACATACCGGCTACTAGCACACAGAGACGACAAGTTTAATCATTCAAATACACAGAGATAATGAACTGGGTGTGAGAGCTGGGATGTGTGTAACTGATGATAGATTATTAGACCATTTAGAACACAAGGTTGTGTTGAAGGTTCTGTACCTCCATGCCTCTGTTCATAGCCTCCTTGGCCATCCTCACAGCGATGGGGGCCTAGAGAGAGAACACACTGGGGGTGAGAATGAAGGACCACAGAAATGCTCATGTGATGACACGTAACCATCTCTGATAAATAGGTTCTAAAAGGGTTCTTCGGCTGTCCCTGTGGGAGAACCCTTTTTCTGAGAGTGTACAGTGCCTTCAGAAAGTATTCACACCACTTATTCCAAAAAATGTTGTGTTACAGCCTGAATTTAAAATGGATTAAATATATTTTTTTCTCACCCATCTACAGACAATACCCCATAATAGCAAAGTGAAATAATCTTTAGAAATTTTAGCAAATGTATTAAATGACATACAGATATCTAATTTACATAAGTATTCACACCCCTGAGGCAATACTTTGTAGAAGCACCTTTGGCGGCGATTACAGCTTTGAATTGTCTTGGGTATGTCTGTACCAGCTTTGCACATCTGGATTTTGGGATTTTCTCCCATTCTTCCTTGCAGATTTTCTCAAGCTCTGTTAAATTAGATGGGGAGCAGCAGTGAACAGCAATCTTCAAGTCTTTTCACAGATTTTTCAATTGGATTCAAGTCTGGGCTGTGGCTGGGACATTCACATTCTTGTTCTGAAGCCATTCCAGCGTTGCTTTGGCTGTTTTACTTCATTTGTCATTGTCCTGTTGGAACATAAATCTTCGCCCCAGTCTAAGGTCTTTTGCACTCTGAAGCAGGTTCTCATAAAGGATTTGCCTGTATTTGGCTCCATTCATTGTTCCCTCTATCTTTACCAGTCTCCAAGTCCCTGCCGCTGAAAAGCATCCCCATAGCATGATGCTGCCACCACCATGCTTCACAGTAGGGATGGTGTTAGATGGGTGATGAGCTGTGCCTGGTTTTCTCCAGACATAGCGCTTTGCATTCAGGCCAAAGAGTTACATTTTTGTCTCATCAGACCACAGAATATTTTGCCTTATGTTCTGAGTCATTCATGTGCCTTTTTGCAAACTCTAGGCGTGCATTCACGTGCCTCTTTCTCAGAAGTGGCTTCTGTCTGGCCACTCTCCCATAAAGTCCAGATTGGTGAAGTGCTGTAGAGACTGTTGTGAGGTTCTCCCATCTCAGCCACGGAACTCTGTAGTCCTGTCAGAGTAGTCATTGAGTTCTTGGTCACCTCCCTAACGAAGGTCCTTCTTGCCCGGTTTCTCAGTTTGGTCAGACGGCCAGCTCTAGGCAGAGTCTGGGTACTTCTATATTTTTTCCATTTCCCACTGATGGAGACCACTGTGCTCTTGGAAACTTTCAAAACTCTAGAAATGGTTTTATACCCTTCCCCAGATATGCCTCATCACAATTCTATCTCCGAGATCTATGGACAGTTCTGCTCTATGGTATAGTTTCTGCTCTGACATGCACAGGTGTGTTTCTTTCTAAATCACGTCCAAACAATTGAATTGGCCGTATGACTCCAATCAAGTTGTAGTGACATCTCAAGGATGATCAAAGGCAATTGGATGCACCAGAGCTCAATTTGGAGTGTCATAGCAAAGGGGTGTGAATACTTATGTAAATTAGATCAGTATTTCATTTTAAATACATTTGCTAAAATTTCTAAAAACATGTTTTCACTTTGTCATTATGGGGTATTGTGTGTAGATTGATGAAAAAAAATATTTAATCCAATATTTAATTCAGACTGTAACAACAAATGTGGAATAAATCAAGGTATGAATACTTTCTGAAGGCACTGTATGCATACAAATGGAAAGACTTTAGCTAGCAGGTTACCCAGCTTCAAACCCAGCTTGTCACATTTGTACACTGTGCTGTGCATGTCCCTTACAGTGGCTAGTGGTTAGTTAGTGTTCTGTTTGGCTCGGCCTGGCTCCCCAGTGGGTGGGCCTGGCTGCCAAGTGGGTGGGTGGCCACCCGTGGGCCCACCCATGGCTGTACCCCTGCCCAGTCATGTGAAATCCATAGATTAGGGCAAAATTAATTTCTTTCAATTGACTGATTTCCTTATATGAACTGTAACTCAGTAAAATCTTTGAAATTGTGTTTATATTTTTGTTCAGTATAGCTGTCAATCACTCATCACTGTGGAATGGAGAAAACAATGAGTATGGTTTTTCATCCTAAAACATCCTCAGATACAGAAATATGTCCTCCAAGCTGTGTGACTGTAAATAACTGGTTTGTGTGTGTGTGTGTGTGTGCATATGTTATTTGTGGTCTGTTTCTCCACTTGACTGCCGAGGAGCCCCTGTCAACTGCTGGCATCAGATGAAGTGAGAGGAATTTGGAGCGACAGATGCCTGGAGAGGAGGAGGATGGAGAGAGGGAGGAGGGCACTGGCGTAGCACACACCCCTGCAAATTAAATCTAAAACAGCAATATTTTCTCTCAGCCACTTGGCAAAATGTGTCAAATAGCATGAGATTAGCTATAGAAGGGTTGGTTTTAGCCATATTAGCATTGACATTAAATCAGTCAAAACACATCAAAACAAGACATGGTATCAAGAACAAGCAAAAACTAGCTGAAACCAGCCAACTACGATTCCCCTCATGGCAGCTTCTTGTCATTGTTGCTAGCCATCTGACCATCCAGAGTCGTCATTATGAGCCGTCCTCCCCTCAGCAGCCTACACTGCATCTCCCATGTATTAGTGTGTGTATGCGTGCGTCTAACCTGTGGTAGTATCTCTCTAGTCAGACTCAGTGCCTCTCAATAGGCAGCGTCTCCATCTGGGTTCTGCTCTGTAGCTCTGTTGACCAGTCCTATGTCCACAGCCCTCCTGCCAGTGAAGATCAGCTTTTCAGCCAGGGCAAAGCCCACCGCTCTGGGGAGACGCTGACTGCCCCCTACAGGAGAGAGGAGGTAGGGAGAGAGAATGAGGCTGAACTCATTATGCAAAAAAAACCAAGGGATTTCATGATGGTAACTGATGGGTGTGGATCAGTGGAGACTGCTCATATTAATGGCTGGAACGGAGTCAATGGAATGGCATCAAACATGGGAACTATGTGTTTGATATATTTGACACCATTCCACCTGTTCCGCTCCAGCCATTACCACGAGCTCGTCCTCCCCAATTAAGGTGCCACCAACCTCCTGTGGTGTGTGTGTGGATGTGATGGGAGAGAGTGTGTGTGTGAAAGTGACGGGAGTAAGTGTGTGTGTGTGCATGCATGCATGCATGCATTTGACCTCTGGTCGTCTTACCAGCCCCTGGGAGTAGCCCCTGTGTCGTCTCAATCAAACCCATCTGGGTAGAGTAGGCTGAAACACACACACACACAGAGAGGACAGTTGAAGGTCTTCTCGACTGTGTCATTAAGCAACGGTGGGAGTAGACAGACTGATGTGTTTGTCAGAGCAAAACACACACACAAAATGCACACACACACACGCTCACCTAACGCCACTGCCTCAAATCTATTTCAACCCAACCATATCTGTTAGCAGTTTCGTAACTTGTAGCGTTGACGGACGATACACCAGTTACGGTAAGTGCGTCTGTCCATGAGAGATGAGAGAATGTGAAACTGAAATCATGTTGAATGCAGGGACGGCTTGTTCAATAGGGCGATATGGGCGACGCACTGCCAAACGGGAAAAGGAAGGGATTTTTTTTCTAATCAATTATACAAAAAAAATATATATATATATATAATTTTTTTAAATAAATTTATAAAAAATTATATCACGGCAACAGCAGTTATCAGTGTTCACGTCTGATCTGCCAGCCACTAAATGTCAAATCAGGCTAAAGTCGTGCTTCAAATGGCCCCGCCCGTTTTTTGGGCGATTTCAGTCAGGTTGAAAATCGCCCAGAAGTCTCTCATAGCCTGTCATGTAAAATCTATTTTTTTCACATTTCAAAGCTTTCAATACATTCTCTATTGGTGTCTGTGGGCTTGCACTTACGCGCTTTCGTCATACGTGACGTAACGTTGAACGTAACTAAGACAATGGCGGCTATCAGCGTCTATGTTGCGACCTGCAGTGTGGCGTTATTTTATGTTTTTAATTTGTAGACTTAGTTTACAAACATTCTGCAAACATTCTGCTTTGGACTGATCTTCGGTTTTGGACTGATCTTGTTGATCGTGTACATACCCGCTACGAACGGACTAAATAATGAAAACGCTGCTGGCAGAGAGGTGGAGCCGGCCACCTTCACCCTGGTCAGAGCGGACCGCGATCCTGGTAAGAGAGCGACTCTGTACCCCGACATTGAACTGCTTTCTGTGTCATTGAACCTTACTATTGTTGATAAAACAAGTTTACTGGAGAACGGAGAAAAAGTAGAGACTTTTGGACAAGGTGGATAATTGTATAATATAAGGCAGTTTATTCAGAGGTAAAGAGCTATAAATCAAGCCCCATTACTTACCATATCAGATAAGAGAAATTGCTGCAGCTACATATATTTTACATCCTGGCCCTACATAGTTCACTATTTGCATCACTTACCAAAATATTACATGTGGTCATATATGCTTGGAAAGTGGAGATGCCATAGAACGTCAAAAAAGTAAACATTGCTGGAGACACATTGCGTTTGCTAGCGAAGAGATTTGTTGTGGCAAATGAACTTGGGCTGGGAATTGCCAGGAACCTCACGATAAGATATATGCATCAGCATTGCGAGTCTCATGATTCTATACGTATTGCGATTCGATACTGTGATTTTATTGCGCACCATATGTCTGTTGCAGAGGGATCAGAAAGCCATGAGAACGAGTTTTGATCAGTCATGGAAATAAAAGTGCTGAAAACAAATTGGCTCCCAATGTGAAAAGATTGAGAACAAGCTATGAAGGAACAATAATGGTGTTTTGGTGCAGGTACAGCCAACTAGCGCTAAAATATTGCGATATTGTCAATACAGTATATCGTAAAGTATCACTATGTAACTCGATTTCTTTCACCCCAATCCCTCAAATTAATGGTAAATAACTGAATTGTTTGCCCCACATTTAGCTAAGATGATTAGCTAGCCAGCTAAAATGTTTTATTTAGTTAGCAGTCGCATCTACAATAGTTTACTGTCAATAACATGTCTCCAAAAATGACGTGGTGTCTCCAATTGTGTTGACATTTTACAATTGCAATGCGCATCCATGAGTATCCACTTTCTGTAGCTCAGCTGGTAGAGCATGGTGCTTGTAACGCCAAGGTAGTGGGTTCGATCCCCGGGACCACCCATACACAAAAATGTATGCACGCATGACTGTAAGTCGCTTTGGATAAAAGCGTCTGCTAAATGGCATATTATTATTATTATTATTATTATTATTATCTGAAGAGAGCCCCGAAACATTGTGTGCAGACATTTTATGCAATAAATGAAGTAGGTTCAATCTAGTAGTTCTGATCTTCTGATTGGTCCTGATGAGTTGGGCGAGGTCCCCTCCAGGCTACTGTCACTGTTGCATTGGCTCTGAGTCGGGTTCTCTGTCTTCAAATGTTCAGCCTAAGAGAGGGGATTTTTGTGTGTGTGTGTGTGTGTGTGTGTTTAACAGTGATGATGTGTGTGTGTGTGTGTGTTTAACAGTGATGATGTGTGTGTGTGTGTGTTTGTGTGTGTGTGTGTCCTCAGAGCAAGAACTCGTGAGTTGGAAGAACTGAGAGGCCTATGGCGTGGGTGTTGTCCTTGGCCACCTGCTGACAAGGCTGACAAGATAGGACCCTTTTGTCCATTGTTATTGGATAGGAACATAACTTATAACCAGCTCCTGACCTAAATAGATCTTAGCACAACATTTTACTCAACATATCATATTCCATATTCACTATAACAAATATATTTACTACGACATTAGCAAGAACCGCCACATCCTCAGCCGGCTAATCCAGTGTGTGAAGTTTTGCGGAGTGTTTGAGTTAGCTTTGCGAGGCAAAGATGAAACTGAGGGCTCCACCAACCCTGGTAAGCCAACACTTTTGAGATCAGTCAATAAATGCTTCTGGTATTGACTTATATGCTGCCCCTGTCTTCATGTTGTTGCTGGACATATCTTTTTTTAAATGTGTGTAGGTCACCTAAATCATCAGAAAAATTGCCCCTCCTGAGAATTTTTTCAGGAGCCGCCACTGGTTGAATGTTTGAATACATTTATTTCAATTTAAATATGCTGGTATACATAATGGCAACTAAATATGCTTGTTTTACAAATTATATAAAATAATAGACTCAGAATTTACATACAACATATGGTTTACACATTCCTGGTCACTAAATTAATATATCTATGAATAAATCAAGATTGTTTGTGCCTATCATTGTCACGGTTTCGGCCGAGGCTGCCTCTCTTCCTTGTTCGGGCAGGCTTCGGCGTTCGTTGTCTCCGGAACACTAGCTGCCACCGTTGTATGTTTCATGTTCGTTTGCTTTTGTCTGTTTGTTGTGACACCTGTTCTCGTTTAGCGTAATTAGTGTCCTATAAGTTTCTCGTTGTGTTTGTCTAGTGTTGTGTGTTATTGATTTTGGTCTGTCGTTTGTTGGGCTTATTTAGCTATTTCGCTCGGTTGAGCTTCCCCCCACTGCGTTGGAGTGTTTACGCACCTGTTTAGTGCGCTTTTGTTTTGTTCGCCTTCGTGCGTAATTTCGCCTTCGGGCAAGTCGTGTCGTATTTTCCTTGTTGGAGATTTACTAAAGTCTGTTGGACTATACTTCGGTGTCCTGCGTTTGATTCCACCACTACACCCACCTACAGCACTCGTGACAATCATTAGCATGTACAGCTGCACTTCATATGATATAATCATGTAAAAGCTGTTTAAAATAAGAATAAAAAATAATAATTAAGAAGAAGAAATGGGACTGTCAAAAAAATGACATTCTAACAATGCCCAACACATGCCAAATCATAACGAGCATTTCACCTAAATAACAAACCAAATGGGGTCAAAATAAAAACACTTCAACATTTCAGTTAAGTGGTCTTAATACACCACATTCAAACAAACATGCTGCAGGCTCTAATTCTATCATATCTTGACTATTTCCCAGTTATATGTTCAGGTGCTGCAAAGAAGAACCTTGGAAAGCTGGCCAAGAACAGAGCAGCACGCAGCCTTTTGGGGGCCCCAAGTTAATTTCCTGCAATTCTACACATTTTGCCATGGGGCGTAGAGAAAATGTTGCAGTTTTAAAGCAAGTTTGTTGCAATTGTACACATTTCGCCATAGAGTGGATTTTTTTGTTTGTTGTTGCAGTTTTTAAGCTAATTTCCTGCAATTCTACACATTTTGCCATGACTTATGCCATATGAATATATCGGAGTGAGAGTGACTAATAAAATCAGAATCTCCCATTAGTGTTCAAATGGGTTGAGATCTGGTGACAGACCCCCATGGTTTACATTGTTTTCATGCTCATCAAACCATTCAGTTTGTCACCCTATGCCATGGTAACTAAAATAATGGACTGTACAGCATTTTTATACATAACCTTAAGCATGACGGGATGTTAATTGCTTAATTAACTCAGGAGCCACACCTGTGTGGTAGCACCTGCTTTCAATATAATTTGTATTTTGGCAGTTACCTGTATTTATACTGATATGTATGCATGTAACTCAGATGCTACTGAATATAAATGTAATATACTGTACATAAGAATCAGTGGAGGCTGCTGAGGGGAGGACAGCTCATAGTAATGGCTGAAATTGAGTCAATGGAGTGGTGTCAACCACATGGAAACCATGTCTTTGATGTGTTTGATACCATTCCATTAACTCCATTGCAGCCATTATTATAAGCCATCCTCCCCTCAGCAGCCTCCACTGATAACAATAATATCCATTAAGTTGTTTCTCACAGATCTTGTGGTGTAGTTACCACAACCACTCATTACCCTGCATGGCTAGCCCCTCTCAGCTTGACTTGTTTGTTATGGGGTTAATTATGTACGTGAATAGCCTCTGCTCAAGTCAGTGACAATGCAGGGAGCCAGTATAGGCCTATTACTTTTTAATACAGTGCACTGTGGGTGTATGTGGACTGAGACTCATTACTCTCCTCTTGATATTCTGACACATCTTGTTGTTGTGGCTTCCTAGCAACCTACCTTGTTCTACGGAAGAAAGCTGATAAGGAGGGTAAATATGTCCCTGAGATCAGCAACGATATCATCACAAGCTCAGCTCAAGAGAAGCAACAGGTCTCCGACAAAGTTTTAAAAACTTACCCTCAAGAATTTAAGAAACTGACCACCAAGGCCCTGGAGGATCCTACTTTTAAGCAGGATTTTGCTAG